GATGACAATATCGAGCTAATGGCTGCGAACTTCGAATCTATCTCATAAAACCACGTTCTATATTATATCGAACTAGGATTATTTTAGAAAGCGATATGAGATTCAAAGTGTAAAAATGTCCCAGTACTTTGAATGTTTTAGAAAAGTATTCGAGATAAAGATGTATGGAACTACTGAAAATTACTTTAGATTCCTTTTCCTTATTCTGTAAATTCTTTGATTGGAATATAAATGTTGCTGGAAGTATGAACATTTTCACAAGACAATGATATAAATGGAACTTTAAAACTTTTTTAAGTGTTACAGTGATATTTCGTTACATGTTCCATAATGTCAATAGATTTCCCCGCAACATCCATAATTATTACAAATGTCAATATAACGAAATATCTTTTATGCGATGTTTGTGGTGTAATAAAAATCTGTGTTTCGATTACGTTTTTGATACGTATTACTCACTTATATGTAATAATATAGAATAAAAATATACTGTTAGTCCGATATTTGAAAATATACATGCGTTCGTTGTCACTGTTAAACTGTTGTAATAACAATGGAATAATAAAATAATTTACTCAAATGTACATAATAATATATATACATATTCATAAAAACAATATTAAGCGCAATAACTTTTTTGTACGCGAAAAAAAACCAATAGGTCCGTCGGGACTTGAAGCCAAGACTCCTTTCTAACACGTCTACTTTACAGTGAACGGACGACAGAGTATCCGTTCACGACCATGGTCCCTTTGATGATTTTCCGATGTACCGAACACTCATGATCTGACAACATTGTACTTTAGACTCGACAACACTGTAGAAGTTAGACTATGTAGTTGAGCTCGAATGGATTTAACGTAGTTCACAAATTCACCGTTCTCATAACGTAGAGGGCAGCAGAAAATCCCTGACTTTTTACACTATCGGTATTTCAGAACATGAGACACGAAGTCCCATAAGATGACAGATCTATCCTATACCTAGTCGGTGTTTATATCTCAAAAAATTTCTTCTAATTAGCTCCTTCCGAATCTGAAATTGCTCCCACAACACCGTTAATAGTTAATGAGATATTCGCAAAAGAAAAAGCAAAAATTTGTTGTTAACAGAATAGGTAGTAACTGGCCTTTTTACACAAATATTATGGCACCAAAAAATTGCTCCTGATCTGTTTTATAATAATCAATAGTCAGATTTCTCAATAACAACTTATTAACGAGGAGCAAACGAAATATTATTGTTGTATAGAGGTTAGGTATTACGTCATTGGTAGGCGCTCGTTTATTGCAGCCTTCGGGGCTGTAGAGGGTCAGAATTTTAGGAACTAAAATAAACGAACCTCCAATCACCCGCGCTCTCACCACCCCGCGACAGACAAATGTAAAACGGACTTATATATAGGGTGGGTTGGATATACGCATTTTACGATCATCTTAATTATATCCGTTATTTTTAGAGATATCAGAAAGGTTTATTCACAGAAGTTGTTTAGTATGGAAAGGGGCTATTATTTAGAAGCAATAATTTTTTCGTTAGTCGAGGATCTTCTGAGCTTTCCATCGTAGTTGGTAACGAATATTAGTGTTTCTTAACAATTTATATCTTAAGAAATTGCTCTCGATTTGCTCTTTCCGAATCTGAAATTACTCCCATTGCAATGTTTATATTTAATGAGATGTTCGCAAATAAAAAAGCAAAAATTTGTTTTCTGCAAAATAGATAGGAAATGGCCTTTTTACAAAAATATCATGGTACCGAAAAATTGCTCCTGATCTGTTTCATAATAGTCAATGGTCAGATATCTTAATAACAACTTATTAACAAGGAGCAATTGAAATAATTTTGTTGCGTACATGTGACGTGGCTATGACGTCATACATGACAATTGTGTTGGTACCCCGGCTTCCGCTAGGGGAAAAAGTGGCATAAGAGAAAGGACGTACCAGAGAGGAAATGAGAGTGCTAACGTCCGGGGTTTCGGGTTCCGGGCAGCCCCCCTGGTCTACATAAGCATGGATAAGAACCCCTGGTCCACATTAGCATGTATCAGAACCACAAAATTTCGCGTCAGCAGAGCACTCTACCATTCCGTATCACAATCTATCGGATCAATTGAAATTTGTTTTACATCACAGCGCTATGGGCGACAAACAATTATATAATAACAAATTATCGCTACGAATATTTCGCGTTGGTCTGTGGGAGCCTTAAATACATACTGATTAAATTATAAGCTTACGTATTGATAAAAATTGATCTAACTCTTTACACTTCGTCCCACGTAAGAACATAACTGTTTCGCGCTTAAACAGTCATGCTCTCTATACGCGAAATAGTTATGCTTTTATGTAGAACGAAATGTAAATAATGCACTAAAAGTACAGATTTAAATAAAAATATTATTACATTTCATTCTAAGTACATGCAAAAAGTAATTCTTTTTCATTATTTTTGGATTCGAATTGAAATATTCATAGAAATAAGATGCGAATCATCTTTCGGTATAAATTCGTAGTAAAATTAACTGAAAAACGATTTATTTAGACAAAAAATACTTTTTAATACTAATAGGTACGTTCAAACTTAAAAAGAAAATTTTCATTTCTATCTATATCCTTATTCGAAGATTTATTCGAAAGCTTGAAACAATTTCGCCGAGTATCTTTTATTCGAAGCTGGGTTTCCAAGCGTCCGAACGTGAAGCAAACAAGGAAGTGTTCCCTGTCTGTTAACTACATACAATGTAAGCATTTGGAAAGATCCGTGTCAAACAATACGGGGTTAAACTGAAACCTTAACAACGCCTAGGAATATGAGCTCTTTATTATGATATCCTTAACCTAAGCCTTGCATTCATAAATTAAAAAATAAACGGATTGCTCAACCCGAATAAGTTAATTGTTTATGTAATGAAATAATTATAATAAAATAATAGTTTATGTAATCAAATTACAATTAATAATTTATTTTGTAAATATAATTAATTATTCCTAATTGAACAATCCGTTGAAGAGTTTGGGTCACGCACGGTCATAATGGGTCGCGTGTCTGGAGCGTCAGGTCTCGGGTATCGGTTATGTTTATTTACTTTGGCGAGGATTCACTCCACGAAGCCAGTTCTAAGAATTGGTGGCGAAAGTGACGCGGGATCGTCGCGTGTCAGTGCAGACGACCGGCACGCGTTATGTATGTATTTTACAGCCGCTTCAATTTGACGCTGAACAAAGAGTTGAATAACCAATTCATTTTTTCATGTATTAACGCAACGCTCTGATTAAGACTATCGTAATATGGAAGTAATATTCGAAGTTATTTCCAAATACTTACATTGTAATTATACATATATATAATGATATGGAAAGATGGTAATTTGAAAAAAGTACGATTTTCATATTATTAAAAATAATTGTTCATTCATTATTATCCAAAATAATTACTTACCCCCCCCCCCCCGTCGGCGATTATGCCAGCCACCGCGCTGGTCGCGGTATACGATTTCCTTCAGTAATTTTCTAATCTGAAACAGTAAAATAAAAATCAGATCTTATAATTATACACGTACATTTATATCGATGGTGGGCAAGTGTTTACTCACGACGAACATCGGA